TTAGATGACATTATAAAATATTTTGGATTTGTTATTATTTATATAATAAAATAATTATAAAATATTATTGGTATATAATATTATAGTTAGTTAGGTTGTAATAATTTGGGTTTTTTTAGCGGATTAGGGTTTTCCGCCAATTCGAGATTTTAGTGGTCAAATTTTCATCGATTTAGTCAACTCTTTATTGTAGTCCATATATGATTATATAATTAATCCACGATAATTCTATGATTTCTTTTGTGTGATGTAAATTTAATGGTCAACATAAGTTCATACAAAGAAAGAACATCTCAATATTCATAAATTGATGAAAACAATGAAAGTTAATAATGTAGTACCCCCATTTCTTATTGGATTCCTAAAAAACAAAACAACATTTATAATGAATTTTAATAATTTTTTTGAATTTTTTTAAGGCTTAATCCGAGCGATTCGGCCCGATTCCCGATCCGGATCGCCGATTTGCCGATCCGGATCGGTTTTTGGGATGCCCAATCAGGGTCACCGATCCGTTTTTTAAACCACTGGTATTCCCTAATACCTTGTGATCACAGTGGGTTAATAATTCCAAATTTTCCAGTAGATTTAGTAAAAAGGAGCAAACATCATGATACTCATTCATCATAGCTAGTAAGCTTGCTTTAGAGTGGATACCTAGCATTCCCTGTCTATCAGAAATCTAAGTATGTATTCATCATTAGACATAATGCTTGACTATTATGTTCATGACCCATCATAAGTTAGGTTGGCAAGCACAGGATGCACCTAAGCCAATCCCAGCCTGAGAAAAAGTTATAAAGATGAAATTTTATGTATTCTGTTACTTCATTTTTGTACGAGGATGTTTAAGTCATAATTATGACGATGTCGTAGTCATTCATTACTTTTTAAGGGATTTGATTGCTGACACTCTTGTATATAACATAACAGGAAACATTAAAAATCAATATCCTCACCTTTGTTAGGTCAAGCCCATGAGATGGGAGGAGAGGAGTGAGGACTTGCGAACAATTGTAGGAAGAGGGTCAAAGGGTGAGGAGCAGGTTTTTATTCCAAACAGACCTATCAAAGTTGCCAAAAAGGGACCTGAAACCATGTATCGAGATTCTAATAGCATCAATATAGCGAACAACCTGGCTCATTGTCAGTTTATACAGTTACCAACAATGTGACCAAGCTTGTCGCAATTGCAACATTGAACTTGATCTGCAGGAAGACTGGCAGCTCTAGTCACTAAAATGATTGCTGGCAGCTAACTTCATTCCAAAATCACCTCCAAGATATTGAAGAATTGGGGTGTTAAAAATCAAGTCGCCAGTCTGATGTGGATGAAGATCATATTGTGAACGGAAGCATAAAACCATTAAAGAAAGGTGATGCCCTTGAATATCTTTTGTCTGCACCCCAAATTATTGAAGACATCTCTGACGCCTCTCTCACTGTTCTTTTTTTTTATTGTTAACGATTAATAATGATAAGTATACATCAGGTTGTACCTGATGAGGCATAGCTAATATTTTTCATGTCCATTCTATTGAGTGATTATGACGATTATTGGAGAAAAATATATATCTAATCCAAAAGAGACATTTTCTTCCATTGTTAACCACTAATTTCTTGATCCATTTTAAAATTATTAAGAATATCTCATCAATTGTTAAGGCAAAGCAACATTACAAGACATTTATGTTTCCCATGGTAATGCTAGATACCAAGGCTCGAGAATCGTTAAGCTGCTTATTGGTATTTTTCTATGTATGATGTCGTACTAGACAATGTCCAAGTCAGCGGATCATACTAGAATCAGGCAGGGCCCAAGTGCAAGACAACAGATCAGACTTGGCCAAGTCATTAAAAAAATATAGCTAAGAAACTATGGGACCAGTGAGACTCAGCATGATGCTGGGCTGTTCCACTCAGACCAGGCATCCCGCCAGGACCGATTAACAGGCCAAGTTGGAGGCGATCAGCGAGTTTTAAAGCATAAGGTAGTAGATGAACTCACCGAGGGAACTCAAATAAAAATTTTCTAAAGAAGATTTTCTACGACGTGTGCATAGGATACTTGCTTCTACTGAATTTTAGAACATTGATTGAAACTGATTGATCACTGAATTTGACAAAAGCAAAGCATAAGACATGAACATTTCTCACAGGGAACATCCGCTCATCTTCCGTCATAGCCCTAGAATGTACTAGTCTACAGCTTGTGCGATTCACAAGAATAACCAATCAAATTATACACTATTTTTTCAATCTTGTATTTTAAATTAAAATAATTTTCATTAATAATAATTCGTAGTTAAAAATAAGAAAATAAAAAGTATCCTATTCCTTATTTTCATAGGACAACAAAAAATTGAAGGCATCCTTATAATTTGAAGGTTTAAATTATTGTATCATCATCGTCGTCATCATTAGCATCCGAGCCTTATCCCAACTATTTTGGATGAATCATGCTCTTCCATTTCGCCCATACCCTCAGTCAGCTCATAAGTTACACATACCTTCAGTAAGGCCATAAGTCCCCATATTTTTTCTCACTACTTCCAACCATGCCATTTTGGACCTATCCCTTTCCCTTTTTGAGCCTTACCTATCCCTTTCCCTTTTTGAGCCTTTCACTTGAACTTGCAGCTCCTAAAAGGTGTTATACTGGGTGTGCGCCACATCAGGTCAACCCATCTAAGTCTACTCTCTCTCATCTTATCGCCTATTGGTCACGCTTGAATTTTTCGAATGTATCTATCCATTTCGAATTATATGCCTGCTTGTCTTGCCACTCATCCATCTCAACATCCTCATATCCGCTCATTCCATAGGTATATTGTTTTTTGACCACCTAACATTCTGCCCCATAGAACAAAGCGGGTCTCACAGTTATCCCATAGAACTTGCCTTCATTGGTATCCGACGATCACATAAAATTTTGGTTGCATATCTCTACTTCTCCTTCCCAGCTCTAATTCTATGTGCGACATCTTCCTCAATCTCTCGATTTTTCTGGATTATCGACCCAACATATCGAACGTACGCTCTTTCTGATATTTCCTGTCCATCAATCTTAACTACTTCGTCATCTCTACTCTTATTATTACTAAACTTGCAATCCATTTACTCTGTCTCAATCTAGCTAATCTTAAAACTTTTAGATTCTAGAGCATCCCTCCAAAGTTCTAACGTTTTGTTGACGCTGTTTTGGGTCTCATCGATCTAAACTATGTCATCTGCAAACAACATGCACCACAATACCTCATCTTGTAGGTGCTTACGTAAGTCGTCCATTACTAAGACAAAGGGGTATGGGCTCAATGCTGACCCCTGATGTCGACCTATTGTCACCGAAAATTCATTTGTCTCTTCACTAGTTGTTTATACATTAATTAGCGCTCCATCATACATATCTCTCACCAAGTCGAAATAGTGTCTGGAGACTCCTTTCTTTCCCAACACCCTCCAAATCAAATCTCGAGGTACTCTATCATAAGCTTTCTCTAGAACAATAAAGACCATGTGGAGGTTTTTTCCCTTCGCTGTAAACTTCTCAATCAGTCGTCCAAGTAGGAAAATAGCCACGGGTGTTGACCTCCCTGGTATAAAACCAAATTGGCTTTCTGATACACTCGTTTCACGCCTTAGTCGTGATCAATCACTCTCTCCCAGAACTTCATAGTGCTGCTCACAAGTTTGATCCCTTGATAGTTCACACAATTATGTATGTCTCATTTGTTCCACAATACTTTTCCTCCATTCGCTGACGTTTTCTTTGTTCTCAATACCTCGTTTAATAGCTTGGTCAACCAGTCAATGCTAATCTCCACCATGCACTTTCAAACCTCTATCGAAATACCATCTGATCTTAAAGCCTTTCATATCATCATCCCTTTTCAAGCTTCTTTCACTTCCTATATCCATATCCTACGAATGTATATATGACCTCTGCCCTCATTTATGCCAAAGATTCCTTCTACCACTATATTTCCATTATATTTTTTGGAAACTCCACCTTTCATTGACGTCTTCATCCTTCGTCAAGACCCTTTGATACTCACTCTCAATACATTTAAGATGACCTAGATCCTTACATTTTTTCTCTCATTTTTGCTAATTGGAGACCTCTTTTTCACATTTTCTTGTTCCTAGTTTACTGTATAGATTATTATAGGCCTTAAGTTTAGCCTTACTTACTATTTTGTTAAGTACTTTTCTTAGCATTTTTATATTCTTCTAAGTTTTGATCAATTCTATTACACAGCCAAGTTTTATAGCATGATTCTTTTTCGCTAATGGCCTTCTGAACATCATCACTCCACCACCAAGTTTCCTAGTTGGAATTTTTTTTCCCTGTAGATTCTCCTAAAACTTCTTTTGCCAGTTTAAAATTATCAAATATGAAAATAAAATTTATTCATTAGGACTCTATGCTATAAGAATGACTACTTTTTGAATCCTTAATTTTAAAATGGCCAAAAAGATTGGTAAAAAAATAAAACTAAAAAAATAAGTACATTTATTATTTTATTTAAAAATAAAAACTTGAAGAATCCAAAAAATAAAAAACTTATATTAATTCCATACATGCAAGGAAACTTCATGAAGGAGAGATTCCTGCATATTAAAAGAACAGATAAAAAATATGCAAGCTTATTTACTAGGACACTAGTATGCAAAGAGACTTTCCTACTTTGTATGCAAGATCTAAAGGCTATTATTAAATCAAAGAAATTTGATGATCTTTACGGCATGACGATGCCACACAGTTTTCATCCCAAGAAATTTTGTATATGGTAATCCACAATCCATGTAATTGGTAGGCATAAGCCATATAACCAACTAAATTATAACCAATTTTTCAAATCTTGGATCAAAATTGAAAAAATTAAAAAATAAAATTCATCATCATCAGAGCCTTTTCTTAACTATTTGGGGTCGGCTATATGAATCCTCGTACGTCATTCTGCTCTATCAAGGACCATACCCTCAATGAGGCCATAAGTCCCCATATCTTTTCTCATTACTTCCAACCATATCCTTTTGGGCCTATCCCTTGCCCTTTTTGAGCTTTGCACTTGAGCCAACTTGCACTTCCTAATAAGTGTTGCACTAAGTCTGTGCTGCATATGGCCAGCCCACATAAGTCTATTTTCACTCATCTTATCGCCTATCGGAGCCACACCCAAGTTCTCCCTAATGTATTAATTTCGTATTCTATCCCTTCTTGTCTTTCCAATCATCCATCTGAACATCCTGATCTCTACTGCACTCATTTTATGGTATACTTCATGACTGCCCAACATTCTGCCCCATAAAGCAAAGTTGACCTCACAGTTGTCCTATAGAACTTCCTCTTCGTCTTCATTGGTATGCGGGGATCTCATAAAACTCCAGTTGCACGTCTCCACTTTGTCCACCCAGCTCTAATTCTATGTACGATATCTTCCTCAATCTCTCAATTTTCCTGGATTATCGACCCAAGATATTGAAAGTGCACTCTTTTCGGTATTTCTTAGCTGTCAATATTAACTACTTCCTCCTCTTTGCTCCTATTATTACTAAACAAGAAAGAGATAAAATTACATAATTAAGAATAAATTAAACTGGTTCCATATTCCTTTATTTTACAGAAAAAACATAGAAAAAACCTTATAAGTTGAGAATTATTGTCTATGGAAATAAATTTCATTTGTCATAGCTCTATTTGATAAGAGTGATTGAATTTTTTGGATCAATTTAAAATGGAAAAATAGCTAAAAAGAATTCAGAATTAAAAAATAAAAAATATACTTAGTTTAAAATTTAACTTCTAAAGAAATCAAAAAATTTTAAAAATTATTAATTCCTATACATGCAAGGAAACCATAGTATAAAGAAAGATTCATACTTTATAATGAGAGAGAATGTAAGGAGACCTTTTCTATTAGCATAGAAGGAGAGTTTCATACTTTGTATGGCGAAAGGAAGGATCAAAAGGCTGTTGTCAAATCAAACAAAACATATGGCCTTTGCATCATGATGTCACAGACGCTACATCCAAAGCAATTTAGTATACTTAGACTTCGATAGAATTTGTGCTTTCATTTGAGGTAGATGATAACAACTACAGTATTTTGACTACAAAAGTTACTTAGAATGCTACTTATCAAGAAATAAAAGACAAGAGCCCAAAATGTTGGATGCCCTGCAAGATTAATAAAACAATGGATTATGACAAGCAGAGACACCATATAGATTTTCATCTTTGATAATTAAGTACTTTTAATGTAGAATCTTTGATACATTCATAGCATTAGGATATGGAAGTGAAAGAAGCTTGGAAGATGATAAAAATAGAAAAGGCTTTACGACCAGATGGTATCCCCTTAGAGGTTTGAAAGTGCATGGGGGAGATTGCCATTGACTGGCTGACCAAGCGGTTTAACAAAGATGTTGAGAACAAAGAAAATGACAGACGAATGAAGGAAAAATACCACTACAAGAACAAATGAGGCATATAGAATTGTGCGAACTATCCAAGGATCAAACTTATGAGCCACACTATGAAGCTGTGAGAGAGAATGATTGAGCAACGACTAAGGCATGAAACGAATGTATGATAAAATCAATTCAGTTTTATGTAAGGGAGGTCAACAGTTGAGGCTAGTTTCCTACTTGGGCAATTGATTGAGAAGTTTAGGGCAAAGGCAAAAAATCTCCACATGGTCTTTATTGATCGACATAAAACTTATGATAGAGTACCTCGAGATTTTATTTGGTGGGTGTTGGAAAAGAAAGGAGTTGTGAGTTGGTTCAAGTGTAAGGATAAAAAGGGCAAGGGGTAAGCCTAAAAGGATATGGCTAAAAGTAGTGAGAAAAGACATGAGGACTTCTGGCCTCATTGAGAGTGTGGCCCTTGATAGAGCAGAATGGCAGACCAAGATTCGAGTCGCCGACTTCAAATAGTTGGAAAAAGGCTCTAATGATGATGATGACGTAGAATCTTGTCAAAAGTTTTCTTTGAAAAATGTAATTGCAATGAATATTGCGAAAGTGGTCCAGACTATGTGCATATGGCCAGATAAAATACAATAAAAGGTTGAAATTTGCAAATAAGTAAATTGCACCTGTGAAAACAATCTACAAATTCAAGAGTTCTCGCATCAATCATCACAACAGGAAACTCAAGAATCTCAACTTTCCCTTCCAGGTCAAGCACCAGATAATAGTCATGTTCCTGATTGCGCAAATGTTTAAAACTACCATAGTTTAGGTCTGCAGAAAAATTGTGATTAAACTTTTCAAGGTGCATAGGGTCACGCATCTGCACATAGAAGCAAAACATCAGCAAGATGATCTATAAGCATGACCAAGCTAAAGCAACAAGACAAGCTACACTAGCGATTAAGAATACATGTCCCAAAAAATATGTTTTGGCACTTTACTATTATAAAAGGAGTCATCTTACATCAAGCTGTGAACGAAAGGGATCTCAGTAGACGCTTTATCATGTTGGTTTTCATATAACCATTCTGGATTTGAGATTCTGGTCATCAAAAGCTTAAAAATAGAAAACTTACGTATTTTTCAAAAATTAAGTAAAGGAAATTTTGTACACAAGACTATTCTAGACAAACAAACAATCCGAATAGAGCAGGTGCATGCCAAATCAATTAATAAGGAATGCTATTCAATTAGGGGGCAATTAGGAAGGCAAGGATGCTGATTGTTTTTGTGAGAATAAAAGTAAAAGGTAAGATCAACTATGGGCTGCATTTTCTAAATTTTGTTATTTCCTTTTATGCCTTTATTGTGGTTATAAAGGGGACCTTAAGTAAAGTGGAAGGGATAATAAATAGATATTGAGTCGTGTAAGCACGTAGGCCCCCTCAAAGTGGCCATACATCTAGTGAGTTCTTGATTTTCAGAGCTATTATTGTTTTTCATTTAATTATTTATTTGCTAATGTTCTTTATCCCTGTATTCTTTTATCATATTTGTTCCAGCTGGTATTAGAGTTATTTTCTAGGAGGCATTCCGTGTGATGTATGCTCTATGATTCACCCTTGTTGGATATTAGCACATCAAAAACCCTACTCTAGGAGTGAACTTCCACTTCTCTCTTTACTAATCACCTACTTCTTAGTGTTTCCCTTCAATTCATTTTGCCTTATCTGTACAGAAAAAAAAGAAAGAAAAAGGAGAGCCACAGCAAAAGAGGCAAAAAAAAAAAAAAGACATTGAGAGAGAGTAAATGGCTCCCATTATCAAAGAACTAGAACACAAGTTAACCCAAGAGTATTTTTGGCACCCTCAAAGACATATAGGCATTACTTACCATCACAGACCGCATTCTATTAAACAACAAACATACATGTTCCCTCTGCAACTTTCAACTACATTGGAATCCTCTTCCAAACGAACGAGTGCTGTCAACTAGTAATCTTCCATGCCGTAGGCTCCCATGAACAACTAAGTTACACTTCCCTCACTTTGATGGAATGATCCAAGCAGCTGCATTTATTGAACTGAGCAGTATTTCGCATTCAATTAATTCCTTCAGGAGAATAAGGTACGTCTTAGAACAAGAAGTTTTCCAATGGTACCGGTGGTTCAAGAAGGTTAACAGAACCCCCATGCAGAAGGATTTACTATCGCTCTGTGTGTACATTTTGGCCCAAGCCAATTTGAGGGCTTCATGGGCCATTCACTAAGCTTTGTAATGTGCATGAGTATCAAACCTAATTTGAGAGAGTGGCTAATCAGACAACTTGATTGTCAAATGTACCAGTTGTCTTGTTAGTGGGCTCAAGGAAGAAATTTGCCATGATGTGTGTGAATGTTTATGCCAATGTCAATGTTGGGAGCAATATGGTTGGCACGATTACAAGAAGATAAGTCATTGAGGCAATTTCAACAAAATAAATCTATTCTCACCAAAACAGCTCCACCAAACATGGCAGCAACCACCTAGGGCACCTCCCTTTACAAAGTTGTTGCCAAGATAGATGTGAGAATGTCAAGAAAAGGGCATCTGCTATAAAATTGTGATGAGAAGTACAATCCTGAGTATTGTTACAAGAAGAAAGTTATGATTACTAGATGAGCGCATTTCTGAAGAAGCAATGGAAGATGACGAGAATGAGGATAACGAACCCCAAAAATGATTGAGGAAAACATAGAAATCTCAATTCATGCTTTATTCGGGGAAAGCTCTCCTCCAATCATGTGCCTATAAGGGTATTTATAGGAACATCCAGTCATCATTCTCATTGATTCAGGTAGTATCCATGACTTTGAGGGCCCTAAAGTTGCTAAGCAAGGTGAACTTTCTATTTACGCGTGTGAAAACTTTGAGGTTATGGGGGCTAATAGAGGGATGCTAGTTTATTAGGGATGATGTAGAAATATCTATAACCAAGGGGGCATATCAATGTATATGTACGTCTTGCCTTTGGGAGGGTGAGTCATAGTTTTAGAAGCACAGTGGCTAGGAACGTTGGGGCCAATTTTATGGGATTTCTCTAATTTGTGGATGCAGTGCATAATAAAAAAACTCAGTACACATTAAAAGGGGTGCAGGCAGGCCCAACAAAGATCATCCGTTCACATTGCATGAGGAAATGGAGTGTAAGGGGTCTTAGGGAATAGTTCCACAACTATTCTCCTTGTTAACAATGGTGGAAACTCTGGAACATCCTGGGGTCACTTCTCCAGTAGAACAATATGACGATGTATTTGACGAACCCAAGGGGTTACCACCTAAGCGATCTCATGATCATGTCATCCTACTTACCTCAAGAAGTCAACCACCAAATATCAATGCTTATAGTTACCCATATGCGCAAAAACCAAATAGAGAAGCTTGTCCAAGGAATGATGGTAACATGTATTATTCGTCCCAACACCAGTCCTTGCTCCTCGCCCGTTCTCCTAGTACGCAAAACGGATGGTCCATTAAGAATGTGCAATAAAACCTTAACTAATATTATAGGTAAGGACAAATTTCCCATGCCTGTAACTGATGAACTGCTAACAAGTTGCATAGAGCAATGTACGTCTCTAAATTTGAACTGGATAGGGGTATCACCATATCTGAGTAAGGGAAGAAAATACTCCTAAGACGGCATTCTGAACCTAAAAGGGCCAGTATGAGTTGTTAGTGACGCCCTTTGGCCTCACCAATGCACCATCAACCTTTCAAATCTTAATGAATGAGGTATTTCAATCCCATCTGAGACGAATTATTCTTGTAATTTTTAATGACATTTTAATACACGATCAGACATGGAGAGAACAATTGGATCATTTATCATGTGCATTGCATATACTCTGCGAACATTGCATTTATCTGAAACACACTCAAGTGTTGATTCAGAACATGAAGTTGAATCCCTGGTGATATCATTAGGGGCAGAACGTGTCAAGGTAGATGCTTACAAGATTGAAAGCATGGTAAACAGGCCTACCGCTTAAACAATAAAAAGCTTGTATGGCTTTCTTGGACTTATTGGTTATTATCAAAAGTTTGATTAAGGCAAAATTTGCTTGTGTCGAACTGCCTTGCTAAAAAAGAATTCCTTCCATTGGGATTCTAAAGCCATGATTGCTTTCGATGTCACAATGAGCTCCACATATGTATTAGTCATAGAAAATTTCATTAAAGAGACTGATGCCTCATGAGTTGGAACAGGTGTTGCACTTATGCAGGGAAGGGGAAGGGCTACCTATAGCTTTCAACAGTAAGGCTGTATCAGGAAAAAATTTAGCATAGTCCACATATGAGAAGGAAATGTTAGCAATTATCCTTGCCATAAATACATTGAGATCATACTTGGTGAGATGGTGCACATTATTATCTTGGAGCAGACAATTTTGGCTGAGTAACAAAAAAAGGTCATCAAGCTCATGGTATATGACTATAGAAATCGTCTAACAAAAGAGGAAGGAGACTGTACGTGCAAACGCCTTTCACGATCTCTCAATGCATATCATTATCTCAGCCTACTTGGATGGATGCCATAAAATAATAGTTGGAGGATGATGATTTTTTAAAAGCTCCCATGAAAGAAATTTGGGAGAATCCTAAGGGGTTTTGCAATAGAAAGGTTGTGTGGCATTGGCATCTACTTCATCTTAGAACCATCATATACTAAAAGAGTTACACGAGACACTAATTGTGAGAGCATCCTGGTTTTCTCAGAAAATACAAGCAAGTTGCTAAGTCTCTCAATTGGAAGAGGACAAAGCTTTAAACTAAACAATGTGATGCAAAGTTTGAACCTTGTGTAAGATAAAAGGGGGAACAACACGCTACTAAAGATTATTGCAGCCTCTCCCTATACCCAATCAAATATGGACCGATATATCAATAAACTTCATTGAAGACCTATCCAACTCTCACGAAGAGTCTGTCATGTTAGTGGCGGTTGATCAGCTTATCTTCTGCACACCCATGTACTGCAGCTGTGGTTGCTCAAGTTTTTCTTGATGACATATTTAAGCTACATCTACATGGAATGCCAAGCTCTATTGTACATGATTCTGATGCTATGTTCACAAGTAATTTATTGCGAGACATGTTTAAGCTGCAGATTACCCAACTGAAAATGCGGTCAGCCTTATCATCCCCAAACTGATGGATCAACTGAAGTAGTTAACAAATGATTTGAGGGCTACTCAAAGTGTTTCACCTCAAGCCAACCAAACATTGGATTCGATGGCTTCCATTCTCCATATGGTGGTACCTTACCACCCACAACCCATCGACCAAAACGAGACCATACGTAGTTGTCCCCTTCATCTATCATATCTTACAACCCTAGGCTGCAATTGTTCAAGCTGTAGATTCAAGACTACAGAGTTGAGAGTATGCCATACAAATTTGAAATAAAATCTAAATTTGGCACGACACCGTGTGAAAGCAGGTATGTCCAAAGTGCACCAAAAGAGAGCTCAAAGTAGGTCCGAGTATGATTATCAAAAGTGCACTTGAAGTGCACTAAATGAGAGCTACAAAGATATGCTTTTCCCACGATTACAACCTTGCTGTCAAACCTCTGTGGTGGTCTGTGGGAATCTTGTGCCTAAATTACAAGGTTATCGAATGCATTGGACATGCTGCTTGCAAATTAGAGCTACCAAAATCATTCAAGGTCCACCACATTTCATGTATTGTTCTTGAAGAAAGTAGCGGGAATGCAAAGTGTAAGTTGAATTTCTCCACACTTAGATGAGGGAGTATTGGAGATGAAACGTACTGCCATCCTAGACAGTTGCATGCACAAATTTGAAAATTGTGCCATTACTAAGTTGATGGCCAATTGAAAAGGTATGGAACCTGAGGATGCTACATGGGAATGATGGCATAAATTTGCGGAGCACTATCCTCATTGTCAGCCTTGCAGACAAGGCTCTCCTACAGATTGTAACATGTAAATGTCCAAAAAAACAACAGTGCAACAAATCAATTAATAAGGAAATGTGTTCATTTCAAGAGAGTAATTAGGAATGCATGCACGCTAATTAATTTTGTGAGAATAAAAGTAGCATGTAGGATAATTATGGGTTTTGTTTTCTGTATTTTCTCCTTTCCTTTTATGTCTTGATTGTTGTTTATAAAAGAGGGCCTTTGTTAGAGGGGAAAGGGAGAAGAAATTGATATTGCATCTTATAACGAGGTAGCCCCCTCGAAATGCCACATTTGGTTTTTAAGGAAGTAGCACCTCGAAGTGGTCATCTATCTATTGAGTTCTTCTTAATTTTCCAGCCTATTCTTGTTTTCCATTTGATTATTTATTATTTATTTCGTCTTTGGGTTTTGGGAACATATGTCTCATCTTGGAGAAGAAATGCAATCAGAGAAGAGGGTTGTGTGCCTAAACTACTTGCAATCGAAAGCTTTTAAGGTCATACAAGATCTTTGAAGAAACCAATATATTCACATTTCCTAAAGAGGGCTGATTTTCATTTGGTGAAAGCTATTTATATACAAATGCCTTTGAGGAAATTTGGTAAATATATTAGTTTGATATGCTGATTTTCATTCTTTAATACTTCCGCAGTATGGCAATCAGGCTGGAAGCTGCATCGCGCAACAACATATAACAAAAAAATCCATGGGAAAACACGAACAAAATACATATGCATGCAGACATGGACCATGTGAAAAGACATGAGCTCTACTAAGTACACTCATAAAAACAATAACTGATAATGAGCTTACATGCGAAGATAATTAAGCTTATAAACTTACATTAAAGCCAATAAAGTAAGAATATTCACGAAGCATTCATCGTCGCGTCAATTTTGGATTATTATTGGACCAAAAGAACACCTCATTAAGGAATCAGTTTGACTGTAATTATGCTAGTTTGTCTTTCAAGGAGTCGAAAATGAAAGTGTATCAAGCATGCCCTAACACTATCTAATTTGTCAAAACAAATTATAGATGAATTCAGCCCATCACATGCAAGCCTGAACGAATTAGCGAATCAGCTGATAAACATATTTGTCATACTTTGCTTTTAAACAATTCAAACAATTAGGTTTTCAAATTAAGCCCCATTTCTTTAACAGGCGACCAAGGAGAGAGAGAGAGTACCATAGTGCACAAGCCTTGGGTATGATACAAGCACATGGGTTTCCAGTGAATCGCCTCGTGAGCTCCAACCTCGGAATGTAAGGAACAACGGGCGTAAGCATTGAAATAGGTTTTGATTTGGTTTCTTGTGAGAGCTGAAGCAAGGGTTTTGGGAACAATAGCACGATGACCCACAAGGAAGTTAGCAAGTTTCAAGCCTGCCATTACCTATCGAGAACGCCCATGAAAAACACGGGGATGATGCCCTTTCTAATGCTTCTATCTCTTCAAAGTTCAAGCCTACTCTCTCCCTCTATTGTTGGATTTTGAGTCAGGTAATCATAAGAATGCGATTAACTTGTCTTTAATAAATAAATAAATAAAATCTCTAAATTTTGTGTTAGAATTCAAACCATCCAATTTGAAATTTAATTGCTAGGTCTAGGAGTAGTATGGTCTCACGTTATACATTCCTTTAAACTTAAGGGAAAGCTTTCTACGCTCTCTTTACAACATAAAAGTTTTATCCTCCCCACATCTTTAACCGTTGATTTAAAATGTAAAAGTTTTATCCTCCCCACATCTTTAACCGTTGATTTAAAATGTAAAAGTTTTATCCTCCCCACATCTTTAACCGTTGATTTAAAATGTAATGCTGGGATTAATCCACTTAAGTTGTCACAAAAAAAAAAAAGAGTACGGATTCAACAGGTAACCCTATCTAAATAATTTGTACAAGAGAGAGATCCCCATTTCCCAGATTAAAGATAGAGAGCTCGCTGACAAAAAAAAGGGGAAGCAGAGAGAGAGAGCACTGAGAAAAGGGGAAGCCGAGAGAGAGAAAGCGCGAGACCTCGAATCTCTTAATTTATATGCAATGCGAGGGTTTTTTTGGACAGCAGTTATTCTTGCGCCTCTCATTTTGACTCATTTTTTGAAGCTATGGCAGGCAACTCATGGACTTTTGAGTGCAACAAATTCATTTTGTGATTGCTTAGAACAACAAAAGAGAAATTAAGAATGAATTTTTCTAAAAGAATTTCAGTGTCCTTATCACTTTATTTGATACTTTAATGTCTTGTTTGGATCGTGTGTATAGAACATCAACATGGCAGTTTTGTATATGGGACCCGTTAGTTTGGATAACACTGCTTTGTTTGGATAACACTGCTTATTGGCAATGGGAACTTGTTTCGATAGCACTGCTTATTGGCAATGGGAAACAAGTTAAGTCGTGAAGAACTGTTTTGCCCCAATTGCCAATAAGGAAATTCGATGCGGCGACTTATTTTTGTCTTCAAAACTAGCACCAAGACTGTCATGGTCGTGTAAGAGTCTATTATTCCGAATATAATGAGGAAATCACCAAAAAAAAAAAGCAAAGAAAGAATTTAAATGGCATGCCTCCTAGAGAGTTTTTGCTTTTTCCTTCTATTTGTAATGGTTTCGTGCTAAAATATCCATTAATAGAATAAGAGTGGAAATTAGCTGACTCCTTAAGTGGTATTTGGACCTTTTTACTGTAAATGTCAAAGTAAAATCTTCATATATCGAACTTCCATTTTGTTTTCTCTTGGCAATTATTTTCTAAAAAATCTTATGCAAAAGTTGCAAGAATAATTCTAATTATATAAATATTATTGTAATTGCAGCAACACCCCTGTATAGGGAGGTTAAATGCCCCACTTGAAACTGAAGAGGAATCGAGACGTTATGTAGTCATGGCCCATGATTTGTTAGTAAAGAACACACCAAATGCAAAAAAGCAGCGCGACAGTGAAGAAAAAGGTGAAAAAGTTGATGATGAGGATAGTGAAAGCGAAGAGGAAGGTGAGGAGGATGGTGAAGAGGATAATGAAAGGAGAACAAAGTACAAGAAAGACCAAACTATGTCTGAAGAACTCAAATGGGAACTTTGATCAAAGGTGACGGGGAATGGTGTACTTAGAAAGAGATCGCTTACATATTTGTAATTTAAAGTCTTGTAGTTAAATATGTACAAACTCAGTTTTTCAGGCATATTTTGATGTAGTGCCTTGCTTTCAAACTTTATGTATGTGTAACATTTATTTAAGAAAGTAATTTTTTACAAATGAATTCTATTTCTTACATTGTCTTTTTCATGGCGAATTGGAACGTCTTTTCATGGTGAGTTCTATTTAAGACATGACCCTAAATGCACACTAATTCCTTGTGGGAATCATGGACTGCAATTCAAGTTCTTCAAACTGTGTTTTTAGGTAATTTTCTTTCGATTCAGGCTTGGTGTTTCCTTTTGATTCAAGGCATTTAGTCTAGGTAGTGAACATGTTAATTACTTCTCATGGTACTAGAAGCAAATTTGGGTAATTTTATGTGAGCATGTATGCCTCTGTCTTGACATCTACTGCATACTTGATACTATCTGATGTATGAATTTGAGTACTATTATTTTAGTATTAAAAGCTAAGGAGTATTATTGAAGGCGCAAACCATCCATAGAGTTCATAGGGAGGCAAGAGAGAAAGAGTGACAGACACGCACACACATCTAAAGAGTGAGAAGAGAGTAAGATAGCTAAGTCATGAGATAGAGCGAGAGATCTACATATCGTTTGCAACGTATGAAAGCTATACACAAATTTCATTTCGAAGCTATACAAAAATTTTATTTGCAACAAGAATTTGTAAAATGGAAAGCTATACAAAAATTCTATTTTGAAGCTATTCAATATGCACATTGAAACTATTGCAACGTGAATTTGCAACATATGGAAGCTATACAAAAATTCCATTTCGAAGCTCCGTTCCAAGACAAAGTCTTCTCCACTAGCATTAGGGTTGCAAAAAATGTAAGACAAAGTCTTCTCCACTAGCATTGGGGTCACAAAAAACGTCTAAGATGATGAGCTTGATTGTTGAGCATTGGGCTTACAAAAAATTTCTAAGATGATGAGCTTGATTGTTGAGCATTGGACTTGCAAAACATTTCTGAGATGATGGGCTTGCGGGTTGACCATTGGGCTTGTAAAAAAAACTCCAATCTTTTTCTTAAAGATATAGCCTCTGCATTAACTTCTTGCATTATTATCCAAACTGATATAGTCATTGAAAATTTAGGATATACATATGGCCTCTATTTTGACTTCTTGTATTGTCTTCATAGAATTCATCCTGGTCTGTCTTATAGGATGAATCAGGTGTACGAGTGCCTCAATGGGTATGTAAGGCTCAATAGGCTTCATATTAGCAACAATGTCACCACTTGAGTACCCTTCTCTATGATGTCCATAACTTTTAATCAGTAATACCTAAACATAAGTAATTAACACAAATTCATTTCTATATCAGATAGACACAAAATTTAAGTATAAGTAGGAATTTCAAAATAAATCTATACCTAGCAGAACAATAAATAAAGAATACTAACTAGAAATTGACTTATAAATTGATAGCAAAAAAACCAAAAAATTTAAAATTCACTACTACATATCACAATAAGAGAGATAGAGATAGAGGGGGAGCGCTCGAAATTAAGTTTCTCAAGATACAATTCACACAAAATAGAAAAAAAATCACTAAAAAAAAGATTTTTTTGAGGAATGCCATAAAAGATTTTTTATTGGATTACTCTTTCTCTAATCCAAAAAAAACGAATGTCCATTCTTCGAAGAAGAACTAGCTCTCTCTCTAGACTCCATAAATAAAAACACGCATCAAGGATTTATAATACCACAATAACAAATCCTGCTTGTATTGATAATACTTTTGGTTGAAACGTCCATTCAATTTGGCTGCTAAATGTTAACATGGACTATGGAGTAAATCCTTTTCCTACAATGGGAGTGTAGACCTATATATGAGCCAATATATGACATGCTTTGAATATTGTGTGCATCCTTTTTTGAGTTTGTCTTTGTATGGCTGATAAGTGATAGCTATTTCAATGTCTATCACTAAACTAATTATAAAGAAAGCTACTTCATAGTTGGGTCAAGTCAAAATTAAAGAAAGATCAGATAGTATCTGGCCTTTAGACATATAAATTATATAATTAGGAAGATCCGTAAAAAGATTTCCCAAGAAATACTAGATTGCAATGAGCCGAACAAAATGCCATGAGTTAATTGTAGTTTGACAAGAACAATCGACTTTAAATGCTAGTATTTGATCAAAATCAAACTACTTTTGACCTTTAGACACAAATTATGTATGTACTAGAACTCATATAAAAATTTCTTAATAAATTTTGTTGCATAAAATAAAACATATTAGAGAAGGAAATGTTGTTATATTACAGAATGTATATATAGGTTCTAAAGAAAAAAAACTCTTAAATATTAATTTGATCAGAAAAAATCTTAAATATTTATTTGATCAGACTACTTTTGACTTTTAGACACAAATTATGCGTGAACTAGAACTCATATAAATTTTTTTTAATAAAATTTGTTGCATGAAATAAAACATATTAGAGATGGAAATGTTGTTATATTACAGAGTGTATGTATAGGTTCTAAAGAGAAAAAAATCTTAAATATTAATTTGTTTGAGTGTATTGTATATATGAATTGTTTGTGCGCATAATGATTTGGTACTAAATTTACGCAGAAATAGGAAACGGAGAGCAAAATATTTGCATCTACACACAGTCAAAATCAACAGGGAGATCAATTCTTTGTATCCGAAAACAATAAGAATTAGAAGAAGTTTACCGATTAGAAGTGTGCCAAACGGCAAGCCTCTACTGATCACAAAGCAACATACATGTTAATCGAAGATTTCTATAAGAACCTTAGAGATCCCTCATTTAATGAATTCAAGTTGCTCTATGCGCTTACTCAACCAGAATCGACGCAAAAAAAACCCTAGATCCAAATCAGGAGCAACGTACCGGAATCGACCCAGAAAAAACCCTAGATCCAATCAGGAGCAACGTCCATATCACCCTGCCATAGCTTTAAAAAAAATGGCTCAAAATGGGAGGCACAAGAAGGGCTGTTGTCCAAAAAAACCATGATCGCCCGCCTTAGCTTCAAAAAAATGACTCACAATGGGAAGCGCAAGAAGAGCTGCTGTCCAAAACACCCTCGCTTTGGATAGAAATTAGGGATTCAAGGTTCCGCACTTTCTCTCTCTCTCGGCTTGCTCAACGCTCTCTTTTTCTCTCTCCTTTCCAATCGAGTTTCCTCTATCTAACTTGTCAAATGGGAATATCTTTTGTACGGGTTATTTAGATATGGTTACCGGTTGAACTTGTGCTTTTTTTTTTTTTTTGACAACTCAAGTGGATTAATCTCATCCATGCATTATAAAACTTCTATGCTCTAGGGAGATCATATAAAGCTTTCCCTTTTAACTTAATACTAGATTTCATAGACTAGAAGTTCGTGTTCATTGGTGCTGGAGTTAAACTAGGCTCTGTTCATAACTAAGTTTTTTTGGAGTGTAATATCTTGTCAAAGAGGAAAGGTCTATATAAGGTGTTAATCTTATACACTTAAAGTAAGGTGCACATCAAAATAGAATAGAGTGTTAAAATGTTAGAAAATCCTCCAATTTTTTATAATCTTATACCAATTTTTTAGATTTATTAATTTTTTAAAACGAAAGAAACAAAGCGTTTATTTATTTATTTTAGGTTAAGACAACATAATTTTTTAACCATTGGACGATGGTAATAAATAATTAGTCAAAGACGGTAAGCTTGCATTTCAAATCGAGAGAAGGCACAAGGCGGCAAAGAGATGGGGTCCCAACAGAGCTAGGCATCACCACCCACAACCGTGGAGTAACAGTATCACGGCCCTTGGGTGGCGCGAGACACTACTGCTCATGGCTTTAAGGTGAGCAATGAACTACGAGCGGCGCTAGGCATCGCCATTGGCAACGCGAGAAGGCATCACACCCCTTCGTGGGCGACGATAGCTTCCTGTGAAGCGCGTGACGATAGCCACTTGTGAAGCACGAGACGAAAGTTCCTTATGAGGTGCACGACGATAGGCACGGGACGCAAGAAAGAGGCTTGTGGTCGGCGATAGGCACCGAGCGCATAAAGGAAGCTCGTGGACGGCGATAGGCGCCGAGTGCATGAAAGGAGCTTGCGGACGGCGATAGGTGTTATCGCGACCCTTCGCGGGTGGTGATAGGCATCACCGTCTCCAATAGGCTTGCAACAAGGGAAGACCCCTGTGGGCGACAATAGACTGATCGTCTGTGCTCCTTGCTGAGATGTCAAGGACACATCTGCTGATGGCGTTGAGCAGCACCGTCTGCGAACCTTGCTGAGAGATAAAGATGAACAACAAGAAGGAGAAAGAAGCTCACGCATGGAGCTGCCATCGCCGTGCACGACCTGTGAAACCACAAGAGGGGAAAAAGAAAAGAAAGAGGCTTGCACAACACTCCCTCTACCGTGCATGGTCTCTGAGAGAAGCTCATACGAAGAAGAAGAAGAAAGAGAAGAAGAGAGAGAAGAATAAAATAAAAGAAGAGAGAGAAAGATTTACCTTGAGCCTAGGAGTACCGATTCAAAAGTTTCTCTCTCCTTCCTTTCTCTCTCAAAACGTGACCCCACAATAAGAAGGAATAGAATTCTTATTAAGCAAAAGTTTGTCTTGCAAAAGGTCCTCGTACAATGGTAGTACGTGATATATATAGAGTTGTGCCCAAACATGGGTGGATTAATCAAAATTAAACCTAATTGCTAGAAATTAAGATTTAATTGGTGGGTTCAAAATGACATATTTGCCCCTTCTAACAATTTGTGAAATTTCAGAATAGTCTCCGCTGCTGCTTTAGAACTTGCGTGATCTTTCGTGGATGATCCGGGGTTGCTCTGGTACTCGTTGGTCCAAAAGACGATTGTTTTCTTGTAAGGTTCGGCATGACGATCAATTTGATACAAACTTCGAGCAATGGATCGTGTTTTTAAGCCACGATCATACGACTTGAAATTTGAATGAATCTTGCAAGCTTTGGATCGATAGTGTGCTTATTTCTTGATATTTCTTCGTGCTTTCTTCGTTGGATCACATTCAGTATGCCGTCATGATCACATTGCAATGAACATAGCTCGATTTCGTGCCCAGATGAAGATTTCGCAACTTTTGAGTTTTGGTCATTTCAATGCGAGAATTTACAGTCACTTTATTGGCTTCGTGTGCAAAATCTGACCGCTCATCATGCACGGAGTTTAGACGAAAGATAGCCCTAGACCTTATGCACACGATGAAATTGGTTTTGCACCGATCGGGCTCGCAACCGTCGTGATTCGGCCGCTAGAGCGAGGCGTGTTGCTACTAATTTTCCTGCAATTTTCTTCACGGATCAACAACTTCTCTCTAGCTTTTCTTTATGCTCAAGCATTGTCGGGGTGTGCCATATATCGAAACGTTTGTCTTGACGAGACGAACACGTTCACAAAATTTGAGCACATTCCCATTCGGTACGAATTAGATATGGCCTTCAAAAGTCACTATTTGTGACTGTCCCTTTAATGGAGATTACTTGCAGGGTGGCCGCACGGGAATAGTGTGCGGCTCCTCCTGTTTTGGCCTTTTGCTCATAACTTTATCTTGGAGGGACCAATTAAGCTGAAACTTGACCCGTAGGGGCTTTCAACCGTGCCGGATCCAATGGCGGTGGTCTCATAGTTGTTTGACGCACTGAAATATAGTTCTAGTTATAGGGCCCATTTCAGGGCGTTAAAGGCTGATTATGTCGAAACTGTTCCTCAGTCTGCACTGCCTTAGACATGTCGGAATGCGACGAAACTGGACAGGAGACTTTTTGGAGTCCTTATGAAGATCTTGACCGGTTTTGAAGCCATTATGATATTGTTGAAATTTCCACTGTTTGTCAGGCTTTATTGACCGACTTCTCCCTTTTATTCCGCATCAGGGACCCAAGGGGCTGAAAAATGCCTTCAAATAGTGCACACTGGTTTAAGGTCATATAGCTCGGACCTTGGTTATGAGCATATAAGAAGAGAATGTTCGAAACTTATTCTCTCATAAAAGATCTATTTTCTATGGCAATATTTTGATTTCTTATATTATTGACTCATGTAATTACGAAAATATGTTAAACCTCACAAAAATAAAACTTAATAACTACCATTGATATCCTCTAACAAAATTATTATGAGTGTGCATTAAGCACCTTTTAATTCTGCCCCACCAACTCTAAAGAATCCATGATATCCTTACAAAGAACAAAATGTTAAGGTAATAATTATACAATCATACTTATAATTACTAATCTTTCTTAATATTGCTAGGAAATTGAAAACTAAAAAATAAAACTGACGAACAATAACACAAACACATGCACATAAAGTTGGAATATGCCTTTTTTTTTTTTTTGGGTAGTTAGGAAATATTCCTTGTTATTGGCTGCTTGCTCAATTCACTACGTATGTTCAAATATTTACAATAAATTGAACACCACTAATTAACCAAAAGATAAAAAAATAAAAAATACAGAATCCTATATCAAGAAACAAATAAAGAAGTTAAAAAGAAAAAAATAGATAATAAAGAAAGGTACTTGGGATGGGGGAGGGGGAGGAGGTCGTGTAGGAGATAGAGAGGTAGTGGAGAAGGATAGAGCGAGAGAGAAACGATGTCCTAGAGAGAGGGAGGAATTCGTGGAGAGAGACTAAAGAGAAATCGGGTTTACTTCCTAAAATTTCTCAATTTCCATCTAACTCTCAAATCCCCTTGATTTTTTTAAGATAAATGTTAGATACTTTTGTGAATCCCTCTTAATATTTTACACTTGAGTCTATATCTCATCTTTCTTATAAAATATCTCAATTTTTATATTATCTCAAATCCCCTTAATTTTTTCTGTCTATTATGTGCTTTGTTTTGCTTAAAAAAATGACAAAACCAGCCAAATCCAACAAAAGAATCTATGTATTTACACATCTCTTTAAAAGATGAGTACAAAATCTCTCTCTTTCTCTCTCCTTCCCTAAAGATGGGGATTGTGACTTACACAATAGAGTCACCTATTATACAATCTCTATGGCATTCACCTATTATACAATCTCTATGGCATTAGTAAAGAGATGAATACGAAATCTCTCTTTCTCTCTCCTTCCCTAAAGATGGGAACTGTGATTTACACAATAGAGTCACCTATTATACAATTTCTATGGCATTCACCTATTATACAATTTCTAAGGCATTGTATTAGTGACCCTTCTTATTCTTATGACATGTGCTCATCTCTTCACTTTCACTTGATAATATAGTATAGATAATATAGATAGATAATATTTTTCTACTTTCTAAAATTATTAGGGGAGATTGACATTAGTGACCTTTCTTATTCTTGTGACATGTGCTCATCTCTTAACTTTGGCTTGATAATATAGTATAGATGGATAACATTTCCCTACTTTTTAAAACCATCATTTCTTGGGCCCAATTCTAACCAGCATACATGTTTGTGCCGAATGAGTTCTTTAATAACAACGGACTGCTGGCTTATGAAAGAAGAGGGAGGTTAAGGTCGGTGAATAGACTTCCCCCATGCATGTAAAACTTAACTTTGATGGCAGAGATAATGGCTAGGTGGCAGGTTATGGGGGCCTCTTGAGGGATAGCAATGGGGTGTTCCTATGGACCTATAATGTTAGTCTGCACCCTTGCTCAGCCGATGAAGTAGAGTTATGGGCTTTACATTCTGGTGTAATGAAGTTCATGGAGGACTACACACAAGTGATCATTGAAGGAGATTCCTTGAATGTCATTAAGCGTTGCAACACCCCAATGACTATACAATGGCAATTGACTCAAGTGTTGGATGGAATCTTACTTAAAGAAGTCATATTTATTCATATCAATCGTGGGAGGAATGGAGCGGCAAATTCTTTGGCCAGACAGTGTGGTGCAACTGATGTGAACGTTGCCGTCCTTTTGGCCTTCCCCTCCCTTGTCTTCTCTCTCCTCCCCCTCCTTTTCATTTCCTTCTCTCTTCTTTCCTTTTTCTCTACCTTTTTACTTTTCATATTTTCTCAATTAAAAGCTCGTTAACATTCAAAAAAAAAAAGAAAGAAAAAAACATGCCTTTTCTTCTAATTAATAACACAATAAGGGTTTTATGAGTTAGGAAGTGAAATCTTTGACTCAAATGATCGAAGTTCGTACTTTAGATTGTGATAGAGAGCTCCGAATATGAATTCACTTCTACAGAGAAATTTTCGGATATCCAATTGAGATTGAGACTGAGACTCCATTGTGCTGTGCAAAAGCCTCCGGGATATCATAACCCTTCTTAATTCATCGATTTAGTTTAGATGGATGCTTGGTTGGAATGCAACTTCCAGTTGTTACAAAATATTATCCAATTGAGAACGAGATCCAAATTTACAGATAATATGTGTCTAAATAAAATCTTAAGAAAGGAAATTTGCAGAAAAAATCTCATTTTATTTTCAAAATTTATAGTCTCATATATTTCAATTTTTTTGAGTTTACAGCATACTTTAAATCTATATAGTTATCTTCTATATATCTATCTATATTTTCTATATATTTATCTATATTTTAGATTAAACTTATATTTGGGCGTGTATATTTTTTACTATCGTACCTTGGCCTGTTTGATAACGGTATGAACTGTAAATTAGAAGTTACTTAAGAAGTTCATGGTTTTTGTGTTTGATAACCTCTTTGGGAAGTTAAGAAGTTCTTGGTTCATGTGTTTGATAACCTCCTGAAATGCTAAGTAGTTCTAAGTACCTGTGTTTAAGAAGTCACTGGTTTTTGTTTTAACAACCTCCTGAAATGTTAAGGAAGTTCTAAGTACCAACCTCCTGGAATGTATGTTAAGTAGTTCTAAGTACCTGTGTTTAAGAAGTTACTGGTTTTTGTTTTGACAACCTCCTGAAATGTTAAGTAAGTTCTAAGTACCAACCTCTTGGAATGTTAAGTAGTTCTAAGTACTTGTGTTTAAGAAGTTACTGGGTTTTGTGAAGTTACTGGGTTTTGTGTTTGATAACCTAAGTTCTAAATACTTGTGTTTGATAATATGTTGAAAGACTAAGAAGTTATGGGTATTTGTATTGGATTAGCAGTTGATGTAAAATGTAAAAATTGAGACCTAGATATTATTTATTTTTTATTAATTTTTTTGAATTTTATTTTTTGGGATAAAATATCAATTGAAATTAAATTACGATAGATTAAGAGAGGGAAAATAACTCTTCCATGAATAACTTTACCGCAAATGTGAAAGTGAAATTGAATCTATTTTTTCATAATTAAATAAAAATGCAATGAAGAAGACCATGCCAAGAGAAGCATGCAAACCACGCTTTGGATCGAGAGAGAGATAGTGAATAACTCTTCCATGAATAACTCTTTACCGCAAATGTGAAACTGAAATTGAATCTATTTTTTTCAAAATTAAATAAAAATGCAATGAACAATGACCAGGCCAAAAGAAGCATGCAAACCACGCTCTACAAGAAGTATCAAGTTTGTAAGAAAACAGAGATAATATATGTTCAATATAAGCCACAGCCTAGCGAATTCTTCCATGAATCAATAACTGCTTACCTCAATATAAGACTGAATCAATAACTGCTCCCATGAACCAAATATAAGACTGAACCAAATCGATTTTTGGCAGACCAATAAACAAAAAGAAAAGAATGTGACGTGTTATTTCAATATAAGCATGCAAACCGTGCTGTAAGGGCTTTATCTACAAATTTTAAGAGTGGAAAATCAGGGTTAATGTTTTGTTTGAGAAAATCTTTTAACAAAATGAGAAAACAATGTGAAACAAGCAAATTCTCAAAATTTAACCATGCAATGCCAAATAATGGAAAAAATTATCATGGGGCAAAAGGATATCCAATTCAGTTCTCAAACAAAGATTGCAGGAGTAATCCAATTTTGGGTAAAAGTAGACGTAGTGAGAACAAAGAAAAAAGAAAAAGAAAGGATTCACCTTGGAGATAGTTGATGGGTGAAGAGCGAGAAACGGCATTTTGGTGGTGGGGCTGCCCATTCTGTGGCATCAGAGAAGAGAGAGAAGAAGATGCATCCCCTGCAACAATACTCTTCGTTCTTCTTCACCAACACCACCACATTCCATTAAACCCAACCAAATTACCCCCAAAAAATGAGACATACAATGCCCTAACGATCAATCAGCCTTTATTTTAAATCAATTCAGAAGAATTCCAGAACCGAGTTATAAGCAATCCCTTGAATTGAAAAGGGTGAATTTTGGGCATCCACATTTTTTATAGGAAAGGGTAAAAGCCCTTAGAGAGAGAGAGGGGGGCGTTACACAGAGAAAAGGGGCAGATGAGATCGAGGTTCAGACCTTTTTCGCCGCAGCTGCTGAAATAAACTGGTGACAAATAAACGAGATGAGCAAAGGAGCAGAGATGGATCGAGCCGAGCGGCGTAGTGTGAAGAGAGGGGTGGTTCAGCGGCTGGCGAAGAACAGAAGAAGAAGAGCCTAGGCACAACATTTATCGCGGTGAAGTTTTTTAAAATCTTCCCATTTCGAGTTCCGACCTTTTGGTCGAAACTCTTTTAACATACAAAGAGGGGAAGATGAACAGTAAAGTAAAGTTCCCTACTTAACTTCCGTTTTTTTATCGAATACAGAACATTTCTCAAAAACACTTTCTCATATCAAACAAGCCCTAGAAATACCCAAAAAATATTTACCAAACCTCCCTTAAACTTCTAGGAGTATTTTGCCTATTTTTACAATTGTATGATGGAAATAAGTATAAACACCACAAACCGATGTATAAAATAATAAATTAAAAAAACATTATACTTTTTAAAAAGTGGGATATGAATGTAAAATATGAATTATAAGAAAATATTTTTTAATTTCAAAAACAAAATAGGATTTTTTTGTAAATTTCTCTAACAAAATAAAGGCAGGCCATAGTCATAAGCATGCATCATATTTCAGTGGAACTGCATGACGGCCATTTTAAAACAAAAGATAAAAAAGAGAAGAAATCAAAGACTGGCTAACTTCAGGGAAACCACTAAAACGACCCCAGCTCCAAATGATTGCACCAAGTTCCGCATATTGTGAAATGTTCAGACTCCCTAGACAAGTAAATATAAGGTCAAATCTGTATGAAAATGAAAATTAACTTGATACACATATATTGCTGAAGGCAGCAGATTGAAATCACAAGGAATTAGACACCAAACTGAAAATATGCCACTGGTTTCAAATGTTGAACCAGTTTTCATATATTCATTCTCCCACATTTAAAATCCACTTTAGATTCCAACTTCTCTTTCAATTGGATAGTTGGAGCCATTGCGCACAATGTATTATAATGAGACTACAGGGGAACTAACGAGATTTACTTAGCCTCGTGCAATCAGATATACAAAGAGGTAGGAAAGTCGCAGTACAACTAAGGTATCTTACATGTACTCTTCCTGTAAAATAGTAATTAATGGGAAATTTTTAATCAAGTTAAACTAGTCATCCTCATTATCATCAAGTTCGGTGAAATCTTCAACCAAGTGAGATTCAGTGGTTCGATTACTCCTCGCTCGCATTTCGTCAAGCTCTATCCGCAAGAGAGGGTCGCATGTCACTCGCTCTCCTTCCAGTATCTTGGGGCAACCTGTGTGAAGTTAGGAGAAAGAGGAGTGAGAGAATATTAGAAACAATTGATATGATAATAGAAGTAAGAAGTGGAAGCCGATAGAATGACCACATGTTACAAATACATAAAAGAATGTTCAAAACTAAAAGAGGCAAAAGGAGATGTCCGAGGAATTGCTAGGAGCTCCCTATGTGGGTAGCCAAAATTTGGTCTGCATGTAAGCTTATTACTCAGTACTTACATAAGCGGATTTTCCTCCAAAAAAAAACGGTGTCCAAGGGAGTATTAGAAATAGGAAGTCATAGGTGACCTAAGAAATGTTTGGAATAAGAAGAAAAGATGCACAAGCAAATGTGAATAACCTGCCACAGGGCATTGGCAGCGAGTTCTCCGAGTCCTCATGTAGTGCTTTATTGCCTGCTCTTCATATATATGTTTGCAATCCATACTGCACACACAAAGCAGTTTTTTAGATTATGAGTCCCTACTAATTACAATAAGTGATGGTAAGTTCATATCAGTATACATTTATGATAGCATGATCAGGTCTATCTCACTTGGTACATTTTTATTTACTGAAAATTTTGGAACACACACCCTCAACTTAGGAGTTTGGAGTCTAGTTCAATATGTTATGGTGCAGAACATTGTTTCGGACTCCTGTGAGATCCAAATGGTTATTACTTGCACTGATTTGTACTACTAACCATCATCCCAATTGTCTCAACACTGAGAAACCAACTGGCCATAGGAACATTGAATTCTTAAGAGACATCCCTGGAGCAAAACTCATGAGAACTTAAAATTTTACAATACCATTCTTTGATAGAACTGTATCAAACATGTACAAGCATCTCACCAACTCCAAACAACTATGCTAACAACTTGAACTAATGCGTTGCCTTAACTCCCATACACATTCTATATATTCTAAGAGCGCATATACCATGATTCAATGGGAGCATACTATACAGTTACTCCCTTTGGCAGCTGAGTTGGGATGATATTTCCAATCTGAAATTTAGGAAACCAGCTTAGAATCACTGGATGATTATTTTAAAAGAGAAAATTTGAATTTTAAGTTTTCTATCACTTAGATCTCATCCTAAAAATTGGACAGTCTTTGCTCAATCTTGAGACGTTATTCCTTTGAAGTGCCCAGAGAGTGCGATTTGATTTATTTTTATTTTTTTTTGAGGTTAGTATATGGGTTGAAGAGGTTACATCCTAAAATTTTGGCTATTCTAATAGTTGCAGTTTACATATGCATTGTACTGCATATGCAGAACAAGATAGAGAGTTACTAATTGAACAGAAACTTGTTAGAGAAGACACCATACCTGCGTACTGGATTTTCAAGTTCAATGACAGGCTTTCCAGATAAGGGACATGTAATGTTCAAAATGTTACTCTGGCTAGTCGTCATGATGACTTCCTCCTGCTCTTCACCAGGCATTGGCTCACCAGCATGATGAACGTTCTGCAGAAATTTTGTTTCTGTTATGTTTCATTCAATATGAAACACGGAGAAATTGATCTCATAAGAAGCAAATAGGGGTCAAAACACCCAAAGCTACAAGGGATATGCTACACCACATTCAATCCATGACAGGCAAGAATCATGAATAAAAAAAGCTTACACTTAAAATAAAAAGAGAACTAAAAGCACATAGAGATGGAGTAAACAAACAGATTAAAAGCCACACATTAGAAACAACAAAACTAAGACTGCAACTCATGTAATTTAGTTTAGCATTAACTGTTCATAGATTTCGAACAGGTTCCAGTCCTTTAAATCAGCATGGGAAACATTCAGAATTTCAGATAGAGGAAACAAATAAACATGACACAAATCCACAGCCTCTCCTCATGAAGAGGCATGCAACCATTGGACTTGAATAGTGTCAAAGACTTGCCAAAGTCTAGCAATTCTCTAAGTACTGAATCCCAAGAGAAAAAATGGGCACTTGAGAAGAAAACTAGAGTTCTCATACATTGATTGCAAAGCCAGTTTGATGCAAAAAACATCGATGCTGATTTTTTATGCTCCTGAATGAACAAAATAAGAATTATAAAACATTGTAATACTATGGAAATGGATCTACAGCTTCAACCTGATCGGCTTTTCTATGAATAGCATCCTCCATTTCTCCACACCAAGGGAGTCAACCAAATGATAGTATGCAAGCTGATTATATAGCTCAGCAAGAGACAAGAATTGTTACATACTTCTGGTTAAGAATTGCTTAGATCCTAGAGATATGCAAGGACACTCCATGCCCTGTCAGACTGCAATAAATTGCAAGATTTTCTCTCCATTTTTTAGCCACAAGTAAATATTTTGGATTACCGCCAGTATTTGTAGCAAATCAAATATTTGAAACTGTTTATCATAAAATACGAAAAGCATGCTGCAATAGCATGAAATATTGCTAAAATATTCAGTCAAATGTTTGACATCTGGCAAATTTTGAACTCTCAATTGAGAAACAAAGATCACATTTCATTGATCTGTTTTGAGGTACCATATTGCAATATAAGACATACTCACAGGAAAAACCATGGCCTTCGCATTGTAATATGAATAATAGCTGCAAGGATAGTATGCATAACCAAGTATCTTTAAAAGGAAAGTATATAATGAGACCATTTACTTTTGGTACAAGGTTATGTGAAATTGGGTGGCTGTATTTATTTCATTGACCAAGCTCAAGGTTCAAAAGAAATTTTCTCAAACGTTGTGACACACCTAAGCTATCAGATTTCACATCGAATGGTTATATTAGCAATTGTTTAAAACACAGATCGGTGACCCGGATCGGGCACCCCAAAAACCCATCTGGATCGGTGAATCGATGTTTTGGATCCGGAATCGGCAGAATCGGTCGTATTTAACCTTAAAAAATTCCAAAAAAATATTAAAAATCATTATAAATGTTGTTTTTTAGGAATCCAATAAGAAATGAGGGTACTAGATTACTAACTGTCTTTGTTTTGCATTAATATGCGAATATTGAGATGTTCTTTCCCTGTATGAACTACTGTTAACCATTAAATTTACATCACACAAAAGAAGAAACATAGAAATATCATGGATTACTATACAAATAAATTAATTTATTACTATAACAAAAATAATGCATTATATACTTTATAATACAAATAAATTAATAAATAAATTACAAGATTTGATTATCAATGTATAATTATTATTTATAATATTATAACAACTATGATTCAAAAAATATTAAAAAACACTTCCATAGCATAAGAAAAAAATAAAAATAAATTCCCTTATAAATTTCAATATTATGATATTACAAAAATATTCAAGAAAATATTTTTCACCTAAAAATAGAAAATAACAATGTCAAAATTCAAAAAATCTAAATAAAAAGAAAAAATTAAATTAGATATCATATGTCATAGTATTTTACAAAGTATAAGATACTTCCATGTTAATTTCATACCCTAGGGTTTATACTATACCCTAGTGTTTGTAAAATGCTTTGTATAAACATTAGTCAAAGAGTTCAATGGCGTTACAATGTCATAGCGTTTGTAAAATGCTATGTATAAAATGCTTTATACAATGGAGTTACAATTTTTACCTTAATAAGAGTTCAACATTAGTCCCACATCGTTGTCATTGAAGCCTCATTGCAGCTATAAAACGTAGAGAGCCGGTAATTGCTGTCAGATGATGCCACGCGGGAGAGGTATGGAGTTGTTGATGTTATGTACGCGGCAAGACATCTGGAAGGTGGCTTGTTGATGACACGTGGGTACGTTTTAATGTTAAGGAAACTGTGAGAACCGGTCGAAATGGCCGCATCACTGTAGCGACATGGTGAGAACCGGTCGAAATCGCCGAGTTATTGTTACGAATCGGCAGTTCTCCTTTAAACACGCTTAATTTCCGGTACAAAACGAGAATCGTCACTGGATAACCGATTCCCGAGTCGAATCAGCCGGTTTCGTGCCGACTCAGCGTGTTTTAAACCGCTGGTTATAAGTAATTGTGACCTCCTTGTACAAAAGGTAAATGGTCTCATTGTATATAATCCCATCTTTAAAACCAAATAGTTCAAAGTCTCCTAAATAACATCTCAAACAGAAATAGGAGTGGCAACAAGGGTCTGGGTACAACTTCGTAAGACTCAAGAAAAACACAAATTAATAGAAACTTAGTAATAAATGCTTCAAGCCAAAATCTTGAGGTACAATCAAAGGTCATGTCAAGGACAAGGCATTCTCAATAATTTCCTTTGAACACTCTAGTCTAAGTCCAAACATAAAGAACTACGGAAAATGCTAGAATTGTAAAGATAATCTTTTTTACATCAAGCGCAATATAGCCTCCCCATCGCACATGATATCTCCCATTTATCTCTCAAAGTACCTCTTAACAATCACCTATAAACTCTTTCATATCGAACCAGTATTCATCATATCCATGTCAGCTAATTGTATGACAGCATAAGGCATCATAATACAAATTTACAAAGACGAACACCAAAAAGGTTTGACATGATAAAATGGCAGTTCAGCTCATAGGAGTAGTAGCTCAATAATAAGCATATGGAACATTACATAACACCCTAATAAACGAACCAATGAAGATAATAAAGACATATTTCATGCATTGTAGAGCAACACTAGCAGAAATCCACATGTTGGGCAACTTCTGCTCATCATGAGGATAAAAACTAGAAAACATAGAAGAAAAACACATTAACCATTTCACACTATCTAGTCTTACACATTGTTTTGAACAAAATCATATTCATCATGTTAATATTAATGAAATGAAGAAACATTCATACAAATTTGAATTCGTACACAACTCAGGCTAATGTACGGATCAAGAATGGGTGGTCGAATTCCCAAAAAACACATTTTACGAAGCCCTTAAGCCATTACACCAGTCCTCAAACTTACCCAAATCACTTCCTTAAATTGCCGAAATAAGGGATGACTCTGGGGAACAAAAGACGATTGCTCCTTTAACTTGATAACTTCCTTCTCTATCAGCTTCTTAAAATCAGTTGCCTTCGCATCCAAAAATACAAAAACAATAAACCAACAACAGGATTAGGGCAAAATTTCACATAAAAAACAGGGCCACATATCCAAAATTTCAAAAAAAACAAGAAAAATAATGTTCATTGTGAAAAGGGTTTCACCTCATTTCCAGAGCGATAGTTCATACCAATGGATTGGAGGGCAGATGAGAAATGGGCAGCATCATCAGAGGCAGCTAACAACTCAAGTGTGGCATCTTCTAATTCCTTTACCTTTAACCACAACGAAATCATTCTCTTTCGACGATAGAGGAGAGAGAAACTTAAGAGTTAGGATCGAGTTTCAGAGGAGAGATCATTACCATTTCAAACCGGTTGTCTCTCTCTAAGTCCTCTGCCATCATCTTGATAGTGCCCAAGGCTTTGCGGAGATCCTGGAAACGATTATGGAGGTGGAGATGAGAGAATGAGGGGGAGAAGCAGCAAAGAGAAAGAGAGAGAACAGTAAACAAAAAGGCTCGAGAGGAAAGATTTACAACAATGAGAGTTTGATTTTCCCTGCCCAAGTTGGAGGCCGCGACGCTCATTCTCCCACCACCACCATCAGGAGGAGCAGTGGTGGATGCTGAAGCCATTCGTATGACGAGAGAGAGAGAGAGAGCGAGAAGGGTTTTTTTGACAGTGGAAATGGGAGGGAGAGGCTCAGATATATAGAAGTTTTCAGCAAATGGTTCCACCTGGCGGGAATAGAGCAAGGGGTCGGAGCGCTTTGATATTGATTTCCACTTAGGTTTCTATAGTTCCCTGCAGTTTAGACGATATAGGCTTCTCCCTCCATCCAGCCGTCCAGTTTAGATAAAGGGAGCTACTCACCGTTTGATTTAAATATGACACTTTGGAGTATTATATTTTTATTTTTTTATACAAATTGTATGATTATAAGAATTGGTGAGTGCCATCTTCCAATGGGGTGCACCTAAAAAAATATTAAAAAGAATCTTTGGTAAAATATAATAACCAAAATATACTTTAAAGGATTTTATGAAACCTCAAAGGATCACCATTAAATTTGATATAAATATCTAAAAACTTTATTACATAGATGTAGAACTTGATTTTTTTAGATATCTGTACCAAATTTAATGTTGATTCTTTGAGGTCCTACACACATAGGTGTGGAAAGGTATCAACGGATTATTACTCAATTAAAGGCCTAGCAAATGAGCCCCCACACCCATGTAATAACTTTCTAGAAATCTGTACCAAATTTAATGGCGATTCTTTGGGGTCCTACGCACATGGGTGTGGGAGGGTCTCATAAGACCAACTTCCACTATTTTTGGGCTCTTTTACTCATGACTTTGTGGTCATGTCCACCATTTTCATCCATTTTTACTCACGGTGCCCTTTTGGGGTTCTGATTGTGCTTGGGTTTATTTTTCCACTGAACTCTCTTACTCATGGTTTTGTGACCATACTTGTCCGTCATTTTTACTCATGGCGTTCTTTTGTCCAAGTATACACCATGGCCGTTTTTTCTGAGAGAAGACATGTTTTAGGGTCGTGCCTTCGAGACCTATGCGAAGCCATTTAACATCATGCGGCTAAGACGTGTGCTATAGTTTTAGGGTCATACAGCTGGACCGTAGTGGTAAGGAATGGTAGTCTGTACAGACCATAGAGTGAGTCTGGGGGTGACTTTGACTCACTTGGGAAGGTGGTATGAAGGCGCCTGTAGAGAGTTGATTGGATGGTAGGTGAAAAGTGGTGACCCATTAGCTGGCAGCGAGATGTCTCGGTGTTTGGTGAGCATGGGTAAGACTTTGGAGAATGAAATGGAAGATGGTGAAGGTGGCATGCGCACACGAATGTGCCAGCTAGGGAAGATGTGTGTAGCGATGCATGTAAAGGGTGTGTGTGTGCATGTAGACTCACTGGAGAGGCAATGAAGGTGGTGTAGGTGGCGTACGCACATGAATGGGCCGACTGGGGAAGACGTGTGTGGTGATGCACGTGAAGGGCGTGTGGGCCTAGGTAGGCTCACTGGAGAGAAGAAGAAGAGGGTATGTGTGCACCAATGGACCGGTTAGGGAAGACGTGTGTGGCGATGGACGTGAAAAGGGAGGTGTGCGCACACATGTAGCGTCTTTAAGGTCGTGCCTCCTGGACCTGAGCGAAGCAGTTTAACGTCATGCGGCCAGAACGTGCACTATGGTTTAAGGTCATATAGCTTGGACCGTGGTTACACAGTTTAAAGTCATGTAACTAGGACCGTGCAGTTTAAGGTCATGCAACTAGACATTCGCTACAGTTTATGGTCATATAGTTTGAACCATGGCTATGTAGTTTAAAATCATGCAGTATGAACCGTGTGGGAATCGCCATGTCAGTAGGGCTGTATGTGGGTAAGTATGTCGATAGCAATCGCTCCACCAGCGGCCATGATTCAATCTAAGACACTTACACTTAGAAGAACCACATAAATGAATTCACAATGGTGAGAATGAGAAATATCATCAAGGTCCAGAAAATTAAAAGAATAGAGGCATTATCAAGGTCAACATAATGTAGGCCGAAATTTAAGATTTCACAAAATGTACATGGGAAAAAAAATGCATAGCTAACAAACAATGTGCAAATAAAAATCATAAAATACAAAATGTTAGGCCTTCATTAAGGGGAAAAAAATAAAAAACTAAGTTTCACCACTTTAAGTAGAAGAGAAAAAGAAAGCAACAGAAACAATGTACATTGAAATTTGCAGGTATCACAATTTCAATATCATTTGGCTTTCACTGGTTACTTTGTTTTTTAAGTAAAGGCATGTTAGGCTTATTTTGATTCCCAACTGAATCACATATATGGGAAAGGGGCTTGGGTTGGGGTTGTGGTGGTAGTACCCCCATACTCTAGTCATCACATTGTGGTTTTTATTCCCATCACTAACATCACCCTGTTAACATCTTCAAAAAGTTTAACTTCTAATCTACTTGAAAAACGGGTTAGGGTCTGTCTTCCCCACTGAATCACTCAAAAAAAAAACAAAAAAACTGCATCAATTTTGAAATGCATAAAACCCAAATCTTGAATGGTATACATCTCATTCTATAAGACATCAACACAATACATGCAACATAATCAATATACATAATCTGAAGCATGTTTAGGAACAACCCCTACAATGCCAATTACCCCAACAAAATCAATCATATTACAAGTAAAAAAAAACTTAGTTAAATTAAAAGGGAAAACCCCCTCCAAAACTAATAAAAAATGAAAGAAAATCCCATTACAAAAAATGAAAAAAATAAAATAAAATAATAATAATAATAATAATGCAAATGGGCAGAAGGTTTGGTGTTGGAGAAAACGGTCCAACGGCCAACAAATAAACAACCGAGAACTGAGTATCATACCTGAGTGCTCGCAAAAAGATTTATGGTGAATGAATGTAGAAATGAATGACCAACTCACGTAGGCATGTTCAACAATTACTAGAGTTGCCGAAATCTGTTCCATACCGCAAATCCCGAGCGAGGTGGAA